GAATGCTCTTCAAGGGCTGCCCCATGTAGAGCACGTTGCAGTAGTCCAGTCTAGAGGTCACAAGGGCACGAGTGACTGCTGTGAGGGCCTCCCGGTTCAGGTAGGGATGCAACTGGTGCACCAGGCGAACCTGGGCACAGCCGACAAGTGGTGTTCAAAAGTCAGCTGTGGGTCCCGGAGTACTCCCAAATTGCGAACCCTGTCGGAGGGGCGTACTGTTTGACCCCCCAGCCTGAGAGATGGAAAACTTGGCCAATTAGTAGGAGGGAAACACACCAGCAGCTCGGTCTTATCCGGATTGAGAACAAGATCCCCTTCCTTCCCCAGCAGTCTTTAGGCAGGAGGCCTGCCTGAGCACAGGGTGATGATGGGCTAAGCTAAGCTGCTGTCCTTCTTCCTCTCTTTCTCAGGCCTCAAGAGAAAGCAACAAGAGGAGAGGAATGGCCTCGGGGCCTGAGACGGATGGAAGGCAGGGAGCAAAGCTCCATCATCTTTTCCTGGAGTTGTGCCTCTGCAGCTGCTTTTGAGTTTCCCTGCCTGTTGAGAAGAACGAGAGGCTGGTAGCAGCAAGAGAGAGTTTTAGCGTTTTAGTCAGCTCTTGTCCCTAAAGGGAGCCCCCTGGTGATCAAAATGGAGCGGTGCAGACCAAAGAATGAAAAGTTTGGGACACACAAGCCGGGACAGATAGAACTGACCTCTGTTGGGTCCTGGGGCTTTGGTGCCTCTTCTCGCTCCTTTTTGCTCTTCATGTTCTCATGTTTGATGCGCTTTGTGCCCGTCAGTTTTATCTTACTCTCCACCTCCTGAGCCATCTCTTGCTTCCGAGGCTTCACCTGAGGCAACGGCTTATCTTCCTCCCCTTTAATGTATCTTTCATAGGGCAGAATTAACCTGAAGAACAAATCATCAGTCAGTGATGGAGATTCTCACCCATGGGAAGAAACCTGCCTTAGTAATGGAAGCATCCTGGAGAAGCACCGGGACATCCTTTGGGGAGGCTGCAGTTTCTTTGGGCAGCTTGGAGGTCCAAGGTGGGGCCACCACGAGCATTAGGAGGATCCTTCATGTGGCATTAGGGTAGCCAAGGCCAGTTCCATTCCCAATCCCCCCCCCCCAATGGACCCCTCTTTGTCCTGCTCAACAGGGAATCTGGTTTCTGGTTTGCTTTGCTTTCCATGAGCCCCTCTCCTTTGGTTTCATCCTGGATTTCTAAGCCATCAAAGAGATCTTCCTTTTAAAGAACCCTTTGATGCCATCGTGGTCTACAGTTTTAGGTAAGCATTAAACAATTCTAAAGGGAATTCTTAGCAAAGGGGGTGCTTTTAAAAACTCAGAAATGGCATTCACGCCCAACGTGTTTGTGTATGTGTGTTTGTGTATGTGTGTTTGTGTGTGTGTGTGTGTATCCATTCTGTTGCTCCCAATCAGCTGTACACTCACTAGACTAGAATAAAGTCTTAGTATGTTACTAGAGCGTTACATCTGGGGAAGAGATTTTGGATCTCTTTTGAGCCGGTTCAAAAAATTAAAATGAGATTTTGAATTGGATCAAATCAGCCTTTAGCAAACAAGTTACTTATTTTCCTGAACTTTGACCCTTTAAGTCAACCAAACTAACCTTATAATGCCATTTTGGGGTCACTAAATAAAGTTGGTTTAGGCACCTATGAGACTTCCCCAACCTGGATCCCCACCAGAGGTGGGCTCCTACCAGTTCGCACCTATTCGGTAGAACCGGTTCGTCAAATCTACCGGACCAGTTAGAAGAGGTTCCACCACCAGTGGACCCGGAAAACAGGCCACACCTACAGAAGAGGTTCCAAAAATTTTTGAAACCCACCACTGATCCCCACCCATAAAAGTTGGGGCACT